TTTTATGTTTTTGAAAATAAATTACTGAATTTTTGATATAATTCCAATGTATTCTTATTTATATTGTATGAGGAGATATTGAAAGATTCCTTATTGATTATGATATCGGTACGGTTAAATTTGCATTTATGAGAAAATTTCACTCTTTTCAACACAGCCAGTTGAAGCCTGAATCCCTTTTTATGTCCCCCAAATAAAATTTCTTCTGAGAGACCATTTGGGTATCTTCAATATACTTATCAGTCAAGGTTTTCATTCTGCTTCATTATTCTAGACACAAATTGCCTTCTTGTTTTGTCAAGCATTATAATCTTCACAGCAGATTCTTTGTCAAAGAATACTATAGAATAATGATATTTAATTTATTCCTATTAACCATTTATATGTTTATGTTTTAAGAGGTACGACATACAATAAGTTGTGCAAAATGATTTTGTGCAAAGTATGCAAAGATCCAAAATCTTATGTGTACAGTTAAATGATTTTTTTATATATGTATCTACTAGTATGAACACAACCCTGATCAAAATATAGAAGTCCAACTAACTTTACATATGTGGGGAAATAGAGCCTGGAAAGAGGCTTGAGACAACTTTATGGGTAGCTGTGATTGTTCTATCATCATTTATTAGTTTTGCCTGTTTTTGAACTTTATATAAATCAAATTAAATAGTATTCACTATTTTATGACTGTATTTTTCACTTATAATATCTGTGAGATTCTTCCATAAGTTTGTCCTTTTTAAATGTGGATATTTACTGTATGATATTCCACATTTTTTTCAATCCATTCAGCTCTTAAAACACTTTCATTATTTCCAAAGTTGGTATAAACATTCTTGTACATTTCTTATGGATATAATCACTCATTTCTCTTAGGTATATACCTTGGAGTGGAATTGCTAGATGATGGCTAAGCACGTCTATTAGAAACTGCTGAAGAGTTTTACTCTCCCACCAGCAATGTAAAAGTTTCAGTTGTTCCACATCCTTTCAGACTTGGCTATTCTCAAGCCTTTTTAATTTTAGCTATTTTGTTTGGTACATAGCAAAACTGATTGCAAATATAATTTGCATTTTCCTTTGATTTGAATTTCGGCTTGACTGTTATTGGTGTATATGAATGCCTCAGATTTGTGTGTATTGATTTTGTATCCTGAGACTTTGCTGAATTCATTTATCAATTCTAGGAGTCTCTTGGATGAATCCTTGGGGTTTTCTGGATATAATATCATATCATCGGCAAAGAGCGAGAGTTTGATCTCATCTGTCCCCATTTGGACACCCTTAATACCCCTCTCTTGCCTAATTGCTGTGGTGAGGATTTCGAGCACTATGTTGAATAGAAGTGAAGATAGAGGGCAACCTTGTCTGGTTCCGGTTCTAAATGGGAATGGTTTCAATTTTTCCCCATTCAATATGATATTGGCAGTGGGTTTGTCATAAATGGACTTGATAATTTTAAGGAATGAGCCATCTATGTCTATTTTGATGAGAGTTTTTATCATAAAGGTGTGTTGGACTTTGTCAAATCCTTTTTCTGCATCTATTGAAAGAATTATATGGTCTTTGTTCTTGCTTTTATTTGTATGGCGAATTGCATTTATAGATTTGTGTATGTTAAACCAGCCTTGCATCCCTGGAATAAAACCCACCTGGCCATGGTGAATTATTTTTTTGATGTGCTGCTGAATTCTATTTGTGAAAATTTTGTTGAGGATTTTTGCATCTAAGGGATATTGGTCTGAAGTTTTCTTTTTTTGTTGTGTCCTTTGCTGGCTTTGGTATCAAGATGATATTGGCTTCTTAGAATGAGTTAGAAAGGGTACCATCTTTCTCAATATTGTGGAATAATTTCTGTAGTATAGGTATGAGTTCTTCTTTGAATGTTTGGTAAAACTCTGAAGTGAAGCCATCTGGTCTAGGACTTTTACGTTTTGGGAGTCTTTTAATTGTTGCTCCTATTTCTGAGCTTGAGATTGGTCTATTCAGATATTCTGTTATCTCCTGGGTGAACTTAGGGAGGTTGTATGTTTGGTGAGGATGTAGAGAGACAGGAACACTCTTATACTGCTGGTGGGACTGCAAATTAGTGCAACCTCTGTGGAAAAGACTTTGGAGATACCTCAAAGAGCTAAAAATAAAAATACCATTTGATCCAGCAATAGCACTATTAAGGCATCTAACCAAAAGAGCAAAAGATATGCTACAATAGAGACATCTGCACCCGAATGTTTATAGCAGCACAATTCACTATTGCAAGGATGTGGAAACAACCCAAATGCCCATCAATTCATGAGAGGATTATTAAAATTTGGTATATGTATACAATGGAATATTACTCAATCATAAGAAACGACAGTGATCTCGCACCTCTTATATTTTCCTGGATTAAACTTAAGCCCAGTATCCAAAGTGAGGTATCACAAGATCAGAAGAAAGGGCTCCACTTGTACTCGCCATCAAATTGGTACTAACTGTTGAACACCAGGGTGCTCACATGGCAGTAATACTCTCCAGGGATTAGGGGGATGGGGGGGTAAACCCACAACTAGAGGACATGGGGAGCATTGTAGAGGGGAAGGGCATGCCTCTAACCCTCGCTTGGGTGAGGCAAAGACATAAAATGTAACCATAATGTTTGTACCCTCATAATACTTTGAAATAAAAAAAAATAGCTAATAGTAGGAAATTAAATGAAATAAATCATCCTTAAGCTATTGAAAAAAAGCTTCTACTACCGAGCTTTATTCAATTGCTGCTATAATTGTCTTTAAATAGATACCAAAATAATGCAGATTTTTGGTTTATCAATACTAAATTAATCTTTTTAACAGAACATGAGCAAAACAAATTATATTTATTGGCTGAATTTGGATCAAAGCAAAATATTTTCAAACAGTAGAAGAGTAACTGATGATAATATTTGTTAATTTTAAAAATTATATATACACATAAATAAATATAACTTATTAATAGAAAAAACAAAACAAAAATAATTTGCATTTTCCTGATTTTTAATGGTACTGAACACCTTTTTATATTGTTACTAGCCATTTGAACATTCCCTCTTGTGAGGTACCTATTTTACTTTTTTGCCCAAATCTCACGAATAATTGACAGTTTAGAGTAAATAAGTAAATTCCTTGAAAGCATAATTATACTGGTAACAAAAGACAAAAAAATGTGGATATTGTGTATTTACAAAAGAAATTAAAACTATAAATGTCCCTTTAAAAAATGCAAGAATCAGCTGGCTTCATTGATGAACTTTTCTGAATGTTTAAAAATGAGATAATGCAAATTCAGAGAAAGAAGGAATAGTTCACAAATAATTGTATTGGTCTAGAATAAAACTGATATTAAATCTAACAAGGATATGAAAACCTAACGAGAGATGAAAAACTCATGAACATAAAGCAAAATGTTATAAAGGAAATCTTAACAAGTCAAATATATAAAATGTATAATATTCAAGTTGACTTAATGTTTGGAAAATCAATCACTACAATTCATCATATTAACAGAGTAAAGGATAACTGCATATAATCATAACAAATGATGCTCAAAAACCATTTGATAAAGTTCAACCATCCATTTATAATTAAAAAATAAAATTTTTAATAAGCTAGAAGTGTAGTAAAACTTCCACAATTTGATTAAAGGAGGTAAATAATGTTGTCAGCCAATGTTATATTTAGGATTGAAAAAGATTAAGACCAGAAAAACAATGTCCACTACTACTACTTCTATTCACATTTTGCTGGAGTTCTTAACAACACGTAAGACAAAAATAAGAAACAAAAGGCATAAATATTGGAAAAGAAGAGACAGAGCTATCTTCATGTGGAGATGATATAATTATATGAGAGAAATCCAAAAAATTAAGCAATATTCAATAAAATTAACAAGTAAGCAAGGTTTCTGAATTCAAGACCAATATATCAAAATTAATTGTAGCAATATGCAAAAGATGTGTGAGACCTCTTAATTGACAACTACAAAATATTGCTGAGTAAAATTAAAGAAAACTTAAGGAACAGGGGAAATATATTTTATGAATGACAAGATTCAATATTATTCAGATACCCAATCCCCCTCCCACCATTCCTCTATACATTTAGCACAGCTACCTTAAAGATCACAGCAGGTTTTTTTATTTTGTGAAAATGGACAATGATATTGTAAAATATATATGAACATGCAAAGAGCTTTATTTTATTTTTTTATTTCAAAGTATTGTGGGGGTACAAATGTTTAGGTTACATATATTGCCTTTGTACCACCCAAGTCAGAGCTACAAGTGTGCCCATCCCCACACAGAGTGCATTGCACCCATTAGGTGTGAATATACTCATCCCCCTCCCCTGCAACCTGTCCGACTTCCGATGAATGTTACTTCCATATGTGCACATAAGTGTTGATCAATTAGTACCAATTTGATGGTGAGTACATGTGGTGTTTGTTTTTCCATTCTTGTGATACTTTACTTAGAAGAATGGGCTCCAGTTCCATCCAGGATAAAACAAGAGGTGTTAGTTCACCATTGTTTTTTATGGCTGAATAGTACTCCATGGCATACATATACCACATTTTATTAATCCACTCATGAATTGATGGGCACTTGGGAATCTTTGCAATTGTGAGTTGTGCTGCTACAAACATTCAGATGCAGATATCTTTATTACAGAATGACTTTTGTTCTTTTGGGTAGATACCCAGTAGTGGGATTGCTGAATTATTGGTAGTTCTACTTTTAGCTCTTTGAGGTATCTCCATATTACTTTCCATAGAGGTACTAGTTTGCAGTTCCACCAGCAATGTATGAGTGTTCCTCTCTCTCCACATCCGTGCCAGCATTTGTTGTTTTGGAACATTTTGATAAAAGCCATTCTCACTGGAATTAAGTGATATCTCATTATGGTTTTGATTTGCATTTCCCTGATGATTAGAAATGTTGAGCATTTTTTCATTTTGATATATGGGATAAAGTTGACAATATGGAGAGGGCAAACCATTCGGTGGTATTTGAGTTCATTGTGCTGGGACTTTCTAAATCTCAGAATCTTCAGATTTTATTCTGTCTGGGATTCTCTGTGGTCTGTGTGGTAATTGTACTAGGAAACCTTCTCATCCTGGTCACTGTGACCTTTGACTCATGACTTCACACACCAATGTATTTTCTGCTTATCAATCTCTCTTCCATTGATATGATCCTGGCTTCTTTTGCTACCCCTAAGATGACTGTGGATTTTCTCCAAGAATGGAAGACCATCCTCTGCTGGGGATGGTATTCTCAGATGTTCTTTATGCACCTCATGGGTGGAAGTGAGATGATGTTGCTTGTAGTCATGGCAATAGAAAGGTATGTTGCCATATGCAACCCCCCCCCATTACATGACCATCATGAACCCATGGGTCCTCCCCGGGCTACTATTATCCTCCTATGCAGTTGGATTTGTACATTCATCTAGTCAAACGGCTTTCGTGTTGAATTTGCCTTTCTGTGGTCTCAATGTTGTAGACAGCTTTTTCTGTGATCTTCCTCTTGTGATCAAACTTTCCTGCAAGGATACCTATATTCTATAAGTCCTGATCATTGCTGACAGTGGCCTCCTGTCCCTGGTCTGTGTCCTCGTCTTGCTTGTCTCCTACACAGTCATGATATACTCAGGCACGTGCTGCTAGTGGATCCTCTAAGGCCTTCGCCACTCTCTCATCTCACATCACAGTTGTGACTCCGTTCTTTGTTCCATGTGTCTTCATCTATGTATGGGCCTTCAGCAGATACCCTGTAGATAAAACTCTTTCTGTGATTTACACAATTTTCACACCTCTCTTAAATCCTATTATTTATACATTAAGAAATCAAGAGGTAAAAGCAGCCATTAAGAAAATAAGGACTGAACATAGAAATTTAAAGCAAACTTTTTAGATGACATTTCTGAAGAGACAGTCTCCTGTTTATACATCATTAAGGAATTAATTTTTAATGTATTTCAAATTCTGTATAAGGAAACAGTAGATGTAATTGGTAAAAAGCAAACATTTTTGTAACCTTTAACGGTTAAAGGTCTACAGTCTGGCAGGTGTACATTTAAACCCCACCTCGCCATCAAACTGGTACTAATTGATCAACACTAAGGTGCTCACATGGTAATAATACTCACTGGGTGCTGGTCAGGTAGGGGGTTGCAGGGTGGGAGGTAGAGAGGGTGGGGTGGGTAAACCCACAGCTAATGGAGATGGGGCACACTGTATGTGGGAAGGACACGCTTGTGGCCCTGGCTTGAGCGAGGCAAATGCATTTCATGAAACCAAATTGTTTGTTAACTCCGTAGTATCCGGAATTTAAAAAAAATAGAAAGCAGGTCAGATAACCCCGCTTCTTAAAACCTTCCAATGGTCAAAAGTGATCTACATCTTTATTGTGATGGTGACCATAGACTTTTGTCAAAATTCATAAAAGTGTATGCCAAAAAGGGATGAATTCGGCCTGGTGTGGTGGCTCACGCCTGTAATCCTAGCACTCTGGGAGGCTGAGGCGGGAGAATCATTTGAACTCAGGAGTTCGAGACCAGCCTGAGCAAGAGCAAGACCCCGTCTCAACTGAAAATAGAAAGAAATTAGCCGGACAACTAAAAATATATAGAAAAAATTAGCTGGACATGGTGGCGCATGTCTATAGTCCCACCTACTCAGCAGGCTGAGACAGAAGGATTGCTTGAGCCCGGGAGTGTGAGGTTACTGTGAGCTAGGCTGACGCCACGGCACTCTAGCCCGGGCAACAGAGTGAGACTTTGTTTCCAAAAAAAAGATGGGGGGG